TTACAACAACTATATCCCGGGCTATTTTTGTCATCCTTTAACACCAACATTTTTTCGACAAATATCTTGACATAAAAAAAATATTTTTTTTCTCTAAACTCTTCGACATAAACAAGGGCGTAAACAGGGGGTGCAGTGCCCCACCCTACACCTGTAAAGGGGGGGGAGTAACCCCCTTCCATAGAACTCAGAGCTTTCACACTTTTCAAATCTTAAACTTAAGCGTGAAGAACATAAAAAATAGTTTGCTGTTCATTCAGTGCACTAAGAAGATTGTATACGTGGACCAGAGCCACCATGATAGAAGTCCGAATGAAAAATCTATTTAGAATGCACATTCATCCTAATCGGATGGGCGCTATTAGGGATAGCAAAGTAAAACAATTATTTTTAAATTCCAAGCCACGAAGGCTTGAGTTTGGAGGTAGTAAAAGACCATTTTTAGTTTTTTTTAAAAAAATTTGGATTTAATTTACTTTGTTCATTGCATCGCCGTTTTGTAATCTTTCTTTTTATTTACTAAAATTCAGCACAATTGATTCAGTCATTTGGCCAGCCATAGCAAACATATAACTGAACCAAGAGCTTTATTATATAGATTACAATTGTACTCATAATTTTTTTTAGAACGGAAACTTTTACAAGTCATAATTATTTTCTGGACCTTTGTACTTCTTTTCATCGCATAGAATTTAAGGTTAAGTTAAGTTTTTATTTTCAAAAATGTCTTTTACTATCTCTAGTTTAAATACTAAATATACCTATAAAAGTATAATAAAATGTCGATTTTTTAGAAACAATGCTTAGAAGGTAAAACCCATATCTGATAAGAGTTCTGGCCCTACGTTGCTTACGTTATCTTATCAAAAATATAATCAATGTATATAGATTATAGACTATAGAGTTCATAGAGTAAGCTCTAAATCAAAAGAATTTAATCAGAAATTGTTTGACTATCAATGTATTTATGTTCTCTGTATCATCAATAAAATAGGATTTTTTCAAACTGTCATTAATTTTACAAATATGTATAACGGCTCATGATATTTTCCAAATGGGTGTCTGCCCCCCCCCCACTCTAAATCTCCCATCCTCTCTTCTGCCATAACTGTTACTGTGTTTTAGGGGGAAAATTCATGACCCTTTGTTTTCTGCTTATTGTAATTGTGTTTTTTTTATGACTATATATTTATTCAAAACATTGTTAAACAATATCTGAAACTATTTTTTCTTCTCTAGAAATAATGCCGCTTTTTATAGTTGTTGTTGTTTTCATATGAGTGAAAATAATTTAAAAAAAATAAAAATTATTATAGTTCCTGGAGATATGTCATATTAAATTTAATTTCTTATGTCTCTGCGTAAATGTAATTAGTTACAATGTTTCTGAATTAAAGAATTTGAGTCTCTCTGATTTTCGAATCCCTATGTCCTTGCAACCCAATATCATATGCCTTAGATTTTTCAAACTATGAATTCTGTTATACAATTAGTATTGATTTTAAATATAAAAGGTTTACACCATTATATTTCAAAGATATAATGATTAAAAAATTTGAGTTTGTGGTAAAGACTTAATTCCTTAATCAAGGAGGACTAATCCATTAAGTTTTATTTAAAAGAAATTTCTTTAAGTTTGCAATTTTGAATTATTTAACTTGTATCCACTGGTTTTTGGAAGCGACACATTTTTTAAATTCGTTTTTTGATCTTCAATAAATAAGTACGAACTGGGAAGTACTACCCCGAAGAATTTGAAGTTATGGCTCGCACTTTTCAACATGTTATTTAGATTTAATATTAACCAATAAAGATGTAATCTTTATTACAAACCAAATGACCGCCTCNGTATACTAGTGTATAGAACTAGAGGTTGTTGTGTATACTAGTGTATAGAACTAGAGGTTGTTGTGTATACTAGTGTATAGAACTAGAGGTTGTTGTGTATACTAGTGTATAGAACTAGAGGTTGTTGTGTATACTAGTGTATAGAACTAGAGGTTGTTGTGTATACTAGTGTATAGAACTAGAGGTTGTTGTGTATACTAGTGTATAGAACTAGAGGTTGTTGTGTATACTAGTGTATAGAACTAGAGGTTGTTGTGTATACTAGTGTATTGAACTAGAGGTTGTTGTCTATACTAGTGTATAAAACTAGAGGTTGTTGTGTATACTAGTGTATAGAACTGGAGGTTGTTGTGTATACTAGTGTATAGAACTATAGATTACGTTGTGTATACTAATGTATAGAACTAGAGGTTGTTGTGAACACTAGTGAATAGTACTAAAGGTTGTTGTTTATACTAGTATGTAGATAACTAGAGGTTGTTGGAGTTGTTGTGTATACTAGTGTATAGAACTATAGGTTACATTGTGTATACTAGTGTATAGAACTAGAGGTTGTTGTGTATACTAGTGAATAGTACTAAAGGTTGTTGTTTATACTAGTGTGTAGAACTAGAGGTTGTTGTGTGTACTAGTGTATAGAACTAGAGGTTGTTGTGTATACTAGTGAATAGTACTAAAGGTTGTTGTTTATACTAGTATGTAGATAACTAGAGGTTGTTGGAGTTGTTGTGTATACTACACATTTAGCAATTGTCACTCAAATAGAATTGTATTTAAAAAATATCTGACCTTATTTATGGATGATGTATATCTTGAATTTACTATTAAAAAATATCTTTTCTCCCCATGTATGGAATATTCATTAGCTAACGCGTAATATTGTTTAAACAATGAATGATAACAAAGTATAAAATTCAAAATTGGGTCTATTGTAAAAAAAGCTCTCATTGTTAACCCTAAAAAGCTAAAGAGGGGGGGGGTTATCCACTTTACTTTTTTTTTGATTGCATAGGTTAGGTAGGGTAAAATAATCTTATTTTATTTAATTAATAGATACTTACTCTCTCACACTGAAAGATTGTCGATTTGCGATAGAAACATTATGTTGTTCTTGTTACTTTACCTTAAAATAGAAAATATATTCCTCTTGTCACGTAAACTTTAAAGAAAACGATATTCATATTTTTACCTGTTGAAGAAAAACCCACGAAACCTCAATACTAAATATTGAATATAGTGAGGAGTGCAAATAAGATTATAAAGTAGGAGAAGGAAATGAAAAAGGAGAGAGAAGGAGATTAAAAAGCAGGGATTAGGAGATTAAAAAGTAGGAAGGAGAATATTAAAAAACAGAGGCTAGGAGATCAAAAAATAGGCGAAGGCAATTTAAAATTAAAAAGAAGGTGATTAAAAAATAGAAAGAAAGAGATTTAAAGAAGAGAAGCAGAGATTAAAAAGTAGAGATATGTAGATTAAAAAGTTGAGAGGATGAGATTACAAAGTAGGTAGGAAAAGCTTACAAAGTAGGGAGAAGGAGATTACAAAGTAGGGAGGAGGAGATAACACAGTAGGGAGATGGAGGTTAAAAAGTAGAGAGGAGGAGATTATAAAGTAGGAAGGAGGAGATTACAATTTATAGACGTAGAGATTACAAAGTAAAGAGAAGAAAATGACAAAAGTAAAGAGAATGAGTTTAAAAAGTAGAGAGAAAAAGTTTACAAAGTGGAGAGGAGATTTAAAATAGAGACAAGGCGATTAAAATAAAGAGAATAGGATATTAAACAGCAAAGATGGAGATTGAAAAATTGAGAGAAGGAGATTGAAAAGTAGAAAAGAGGAGATTGAAAAAAGAGGAGATTAAAAAAAGAGAGACAGAGATTAACTATTTGAAAAGGATATTCAAAGGTAGAGTGAAGAAGGTTGAAATGGAAAAAGAAAAAAATAACAAATTAGAGAGGAGGAGATTGATAAGTAGAGAGGAAAAGATTAAATGAAGAAAGAAGAAAATAAAGTTAGGAGGGGAGGGGGACCTCAGTTCGCTCCCCCCTTAACACATTTCGCAGACTCCCCCTTACTTACCCACTCTATCATGATCATATCATGATCATGATTGTGGACCATCTTTAATCAAATTTTGTCAATTAAAAAAACAATAACAATCTTAATAATATCTTTTTAGGGATTTAAGAGCTGTCTCAAACTTACATTTTCACCCTGAAACGTACTTTGATGTTTTTTAACGGACTTTTTCTTAGATATTACTTTCCTGTAGCTTTTAAACAGACATTTTTATACAAGTCAAAATGCTTTAGGAGGGGACGGGCGGGTTAATTTAGGGCCATGGGAATTTAGATTATACATAACACATATATATTTAACAACGATGTGCTGCTGCAAAGACTTGATCGCTAGGGCGTGGAGGACAGTAGTTTCAGACAGAAAACACAATTCTTAAGATATAAAACAAGTATTTTGATCAATAAATTTTTTAATTCAAAAATATCTTTCTTTATTTTTAAAACCGAGCGAAATTATAATGATCTGCTACTTTAACTTAACTGAAGCAACAGATTTTTGGCAACCTTCATGATCTGTAATAAAAATTGTATCTAATTAATCCCAATCCCAACAATTTAAAACAGCTAATTGGGATCCGCAGTAAAAATGCGAGGTATAGCAATTTTATGTGTCCCCCCCCCCTTAAAATCAATTGTTATGACTTTTTTCTTCAATTTTCAAATCGCGAAACGTCCATTTATGTTTGGTAAAACCATATTTTATTAATTTCATTAATTAGTATTGATTCAATAGATCTGAGAAAATTTAGAGCAGCTGTCCTGTTCTAAGAATCCTTAAATTCCTATACCGGGCCAAGGGGGAGGGGGAGGGGGCAGCATTTACACTTGTAGCTGCTGCTTTCATAGCGATTTCATGTCTTCTTAACCAACTATTCTATTAGTATTTTAACCGGTGTATTTTTGCCGGGAAGCTGTCCTTGTAAAGTACGCAGGGATTTAAAAAAAAAATTATTAAAGAAATTACAATTCTTAGAAAAAAAATGGCTTAAATTTTTCATTTTATATTTTTCCCCTTCTGATAATCCCTGTTCGCAGCTGTGAACCCACGTGGGCCTGAGATCAGCTGTTGTTTCTCTCCTCTCAGTTACTCACACATTGTTACCTCTGCGGCGAACACATGCATTGCGGACCGTCCTCATCATGGATTGGGAAGAAGATAGTTTCGGAAAGTCCCAAGATGATAGCTTACAGTTTTACACTCCTGAATCATTCTTCGAACCGTGGTTGGAAAACTTGGACTCTTTTCCTAAAAATCTTCTAGACTCTACCTGTGATTATTCGAAACCATCTTCATGGAATGAGAGCGATGAGTTAAGTGATCTTCTAGACTCTACATTCGAAGACACTTTATTGAGTAAAGGGCCTGTTTCTTCTACTCTAACTAGTGACGAAATTTTTTCTCAGATTGACATATGTTCAGAATTCTTGCAGGACTCGAACCATGCTCTTGTTGGGGATTTCCCGCACCCAAGCCTAGACGATATCGAAATAGAAAATTATACACGCGATGATACTCCCAGTATAGATATTAAGGAGGAGGTGATCGATGAGGAGGTGAAAGATGAGACGGAACCCGTGAAAACTGAACCTAGTGCCGACGATGCTATCTTTAATTTCGATAAGATACAGTGTGATATTGCCAAATTAAAGAAAGAGGTTGATTTTACCAGCGATGATGACTCCTTGTGGTCTGATTTCTTCTCTGAGGAGGACTCTTCAGAGATATCCACCGAGTACGAGAATCATCTCCAATCCTTGTTAATAACTCCGGTGGAGGACTTCAACCTATCTCTAAATGTGTTCAACAATGTCGAAGAGCACGAGGAAGCCGATGAGGTAGCTGCTAAAGCTGCTGCTGCGGCCGCCGATGAGAAGAGAAAATACTGTATAGACCATATTAAAGCGGATCACTGCTATTCCCTCCCTAGGGAGAATATGTCAGTTCTACTGACCCCCCCGAACTCTAGTGATGATTCAGAAGCTGAATCTGAATCCTCTAGTCAAGAATACATTCAGTCAAACTTAATCTCCGTGAAATCGGAGATCCCTAAATTTATCCACAAAACGGTGAAGTTGAAACACAAGAAGGATCTCAAGTTTGTGTTTAGTATGAAGATGAAGGATCAGTTGACTGCTGTTCAGAGTGTACCTGGACGATCTCTGCTCAAAAAGAACCATCTCCCTGAGTACAACCCGTCAAATGATCTTGTAAGAGAGGTACTAAACCGTAGAGCTTATAGAAAAAGACAGAAGCTAAATGAGACTGCTATGGCTGTGGAAACCTTGCTTAATTCTGAAAGTCGGAAAAGTGTTCTGACCGACAAGGTAGTTAAGATTCAGAGTGAACGAGAAATTCATAATTCAATGGAACGGCAGAGAAGGATTGAGCTGAAGAACGAGTTTGACACATTGAAAAGTTTAATTCCAGACATTGCTCTAAGTGAAAAGGTTTCCAAGTTAAATGTGTTAAACTACTCAGCTGATTACGTCAAAAGACTGGAGAAAATGGATGTTAAACTGAAATTAAAGAAAAACTTGCTCAAAGAAAAACGCCAAAAACTTATAGAAGAGTTAAAGAGAATGCGTTAATATCAATTATTTCCTTTACCAACGGTGCCATATGTTAGATTATATTTTTCTATATCTAAATATATAAAGAAAGTTACTGATTTGTTGTTTCATTTGTTTTAATCTCGGTATGATTAGGTGTTAATGATATAGATTTCATACTATTTTTATCCTGGTTTTTAGCTTAAATCTTGTCTCAATATCAATTCCATGAGTATTGTCGGGGCTCAGAATTTCCGATTTTTCTTTAAAGTGTCAGATTTATCAATATTTCTTCTTGCAATCAAATAGATTAGATCTTTGGATGATATAGAAAGAGTACAGAGTTGATCCTTCTTTGCAGTGCTAATTTCTTTTTATATAAGCAAGTAATGCTACTGATTGATATATGTTATAACGTTATAATAACCCCTAACACGACGATCGCAACTTGGATCAAATCTGTCCAATCTTGAAATAAGGATATAGAGCATTTATCAGTGCAAAGATTAGAGAAGGTTTCAGCGTAAATACGTTAATGGTGTCTTTGCAACCCAATGTTGTAGGCCTTAGATATTTCAGACTAAGAATTCTATTAGAATTAGATCAAATAATCTAAGTTTAAATATTTAAGGACTACACCATCATGTTGCAAAGATATAGATATAATAAAATTTGAAATTGTGTTTAAAGATGCGTTTTACCAAATTTCTTCACCCATTGTTCTCCGACCAAAATGAAGGCAAAGTTTCACAATTTAATTTAATTGTTCTTCATAGTTCTCCTCATTCCTCATTGGTTCCTAATTATTCTTCATGGTTCTCCACATTTCTACCTGGTTCCTAATTATTCTTTGTGGTTTTCCACATTTCACTCTGGATCCTAATTATTTTTCATGGTTCTCCACATTTCTACCTGGCTCCTAATTATTCTTTATGGTTCTCCACACTTCTCCCTGGTTCCTAATTATGCTTCACAGTTCTTCACATTTCTCCTTGGTTCCTAATTATGCTTCAAGGTTCTCCACATTCCTCTCTGGTTCCTAATTATGCTTCACAGTCCTCCACATTCCTCTTTGGTTCCTAATTATGCTTCACAGTTCTCCACATATCTCCCTGGTTCCTAATAATACTTCATAGTTCTCCACATTTCTCCTTGATTCTTAATTATGCTTCACATTTCTCCCTGGTTCCTAATTATGCTTTACAGTTCTCTACATTCCTCTCTGGTTCCTAATTAGTCTTAATAGTTCTCCACATTTCTACCTGGCTCCTAATTATTCTTTATGGTTCTCCACACTTCTCCCTGGTTCCTAATTATTCTTCATGGTTCTCCACATTCCTCTCTGGTTCCTAATTATTCTTCAAGTTTTTCACAATTCTTCCGGGTTTCTAATTATTTTTCATGGTTCTCCACAATTCTCCCTTGTTCCTAATTATGCTGCACATTTCTCCCTGGTTCCTTATTATGCTTCACATTTCTCCACATTCCTCTCTGGTTCCTAATCATGCTTCACAATTCTCCAAATTTCTCCTTGGTTCCTAAATTATTTTTCATGGTTCTTTACATTCCTCTCTGGTTTCTAATTATTCTTCATGGTTCTTCACATTTCTCCCTGGTTCCTAATTACTCTTCATGGTTCTCCACATTTCTCTCTGGTTCCTAATTATTCTTCGTTGTTTTCCACATTTCTTCCTGGTTCCTAATTATTCTTCATGGTTCTCCACAGTCCTCTCTGGTTCCTAATTATGCTTCATGGTTCTCCACATTCATCTCTGGTTCCTAATAATGCTTCACATTACATTACATTCCTCTCTGGTTTCTAATTATTCTTCATGGTTCTCCACATTTCTCTCTGGCTCCTAATTATTCTTCATAGTTTTCCACATTTCTCTCTGGTTCCTAATTATTCTTCAAGTTCTCCGCATTCCTCTCTGGTTCCTAATTATTCTTCAAGTTCTGCACATTTCTTCCTGGTTCCTAATTATTTTTCATGGTTCTCCACATTCCTCTCTGGTTCCTAATAATGCTTCACAGTTCTCCACATTCCTCTCTGGTTCTCCAAATTTCTCCCTGGTTCCTAATTATTCTTTATTGTTCTCCAAATTTCTCCCTGGTTCCTAATAATGCTTCACAGTTATCCACATTCCTTTCTGGTTCCTAATTATTCTTTACAGTTCTCCACGTTCCTCTCTGGTTCCTAATTATTCTTCACAGTTCTTCACATTCCGCTCTGGTTAACATTTCTCCCTGGTTCCTAATTATGCTTTACAGTTCTCTACATTCCTCTCTGGTTCCTAATTAGTCTTAATAGTTTTCCACATTTCTCCTTGGTTCCTTATTAGTTTTTATGGTTCCTTGACTCTTTTTTTTGTAAAACTGATTTATCTTTAGTTAAATTTTTAGATTACTTACATTGGGTGTAAAGATATTGATTTCTTTTCTCTTATTTCTTTTTTGATTCCTCGTTTGTTCTGGGTTTCTGTATTCTTACTTAATATCAGTTCCTTATAACCTTTCCGTGGTTTCCTTGCCCCTTGCTGTTTTCCTACACTGCTCTTGGTTTCCTGAAACCCCTCTCCATGTCTTTTCTTGAGTCCTTCTTGGTTCCACGGACTTCTTCAAAGTCTCCAGGACTAACTCCTGGTTTTCCGGACTCCATAATGGTTCCTCGAATTCATCTTGTTGGTTCCCTAACTCCATTTGGTTCTGCTGACCCCAAAATGGTTAAATGTTCTGACTCTTCGAACCTCCTTGGTTCCGTTATTTCCAGAATTCTCCCAAGGTTCTTCTCACTTCTTACTGGTTCTCCGGACTCCTAACTGGTATCCCGGATTCTTGGTTTCATAAACTACTCTCCTATACTTCCCAGACTCTCTTGGTTCCCCGGACTCCTGCATGGGTCCCCGAGGTGTCTTCTTTTACTCGAACTCCTCCCCTGTTACCTGAAATCTCTATTGGTTCCCTGGGATCCATCTCGGTTTCACAGACTTTATCTTGGTTTCACAGACTCCATCTTGGTTTCACAGACTCCATCTTGGTTCCACAGACTCCGAAAGAGTTCCCTGAATTCCTTTACTCTATGAGTTTAATACTGATACAAGGTCTAATAAATATCGCGTTGTTCCTGTCGTTGTCAAGCGCCCCCTGGATTGTAAATGGAGGATATTTTAAGATGAGAAGGGCAGGGGGTCCTTAGAAAAGGGACATTTTTCTAAAATTTTACTTTTCATATTTATTGCCTGAACTGAAACATTAACAATTAGAAGAGAGATATATTTTTAGAGCAAAAGCTTTTTGGAAACTTAAATTTTTTTATAATGCGTTTAAATTTTACTTTCCCGATGCATAGAATGTTCGGGATTATAAAATAAAATTTACTTTTTGACAGCCCTTTTTTACATAAATGCATCATTGTAATGCATTGTATGATTACACTGTTATACTTCATAGATGCAATTGTAATTGTAATGACAAAATGGAGGTTAGCATTAGAATACAGAACGATTTGAAATTTTTCAAGATTGTATTTCATTACACCTGTTCTTTTTAATTAAATGCATAGAAAACAAATATGTACGTACAGAACTTTGGAAAGTGGATAACCAAAATAACCAAAATGTAGGCATTCTTATTATTTTTGGTAATAAGTTGTTTTAAATATAAATCATACCAAAACAAAGATTTTTTTAATGTATTTGTTAGGAGTGTTAAAACTAGGATAAATATATTATTATTATTATTCATACCGCCGGTTCGTCGCGCGTCTGGTTTAGCAGAACTTTCTTCAATCAATAAAAGTTAGTCGTGATGCATCAATGTGAGTTGATGTCCGTTTCTGAAATCTACTGAAATATCTATCTTAACCCTGTATCCATTTTTAAATTAAACTCAGCCTAAACCCTCATCTCTGAGCTAAACTCAACCTAAACCCTCCGTATCCACCTCTTAGCTAAACTCAACCTAAACCCTTTATCCATCTCTTAGCTGATCTCAACCTAAACCCTGTGTCCATCTCTAAACTAAACTCTGGATCTCTGGATCCTACAAGGATCTGGTCTCTGGCTCTGATATAATCTCCTACAAGGATCTGTTCTCTGGCTCTGATATATTCTCCTTTAAGGATCTGGTCTCCGGCTCTGATATCATCTCCTACAAGGATCTGGTCTCTGGTCTGATATAATCTCCAACAAGGATCTGGTCTCTGGGTATAATAAATTCTTCTTAAAGAATCTGTTCTCTGACTCAGATATAATCTCCTACAAGGATCTGGTCAATAGCTCTGATATATTCTTCTAAAAGGATCTGGTCTCTGGCTCTGATATAATCTTCTACAAGGATCTGGTCTCTGGCTCTGATATATTCTTTTACAAGGATCTGGTCTCTGGCTCTGATAAATTCTTCTAAAAGGATCTGGTCTCTGGCTCTGATATAATCTCCTACATGGATCTGGTCTCTGGCTCTGATATATTCTTCTAAAAGGATCCTGATCTCTGGCTCTGATATAATATCCTACAAGGATCTGGTCTCTGACTCTGATGTAATCTCCTACAAGGATCTGGTCTCTGGCTCTGATATAATNGGGGGGGGGGGGTTCTACAGGTGTAGAATATTTTTCTAATATGGGTCGACTAATTATTTAACTTATTGAAAAATATGAACTAATATTCATTTTCTATTTTCTATTTGTTAATAATAACAGTTTGAAATTCAGAAACAATTGTATTGAATACTTACAAATTATATAAATATGAGATTTATACATCTTTTGCGTCTTATTACAAATAAAATTTTTATAAATTGTAGCAGAAGTAAAACGTGTGTTTCTCTACATTGTTATCTCAGTTTCCCAGTCTACAAAAAATCACGAAACCTTTGTTAATAAAAACTGTATACAAACGGCCGACTGACCTTTCACATCAAGTTCGTTCTATTCATTCTGTTTTCAACCACGTCTCAGATTGTGGTTTATATTAGAAGATCTTGGTAAACCAGAACCGTTCTATTTTATATTCAAATCCGGACAATTTGTAAAATATTTTCTTAAAAAATCTGTTTCGGTTTTATATATATATATATATACATAGTTTACTCATTTTTTCTTCCTTGGTTTTCATCAAGA